GGGGTGAAAATGCCTGCTGAGGGGCAGAAGCCCTGGAGCTCGAGCCGGAGAGTGATGTGGTCCAAAAGATGCCTCTGGCCTCAGTGCAGAGGATGATGAAGGGGCCTCTAGAGGCTGGGACGGGACAGGTGCAGGGCCCAGGATGGGAGACAGGGGCTGGGTGCCCCCCAGTCTTGATCTACCTTGATCTACCCCACCGTCCCACCTTCAGAAGTGGCTCATGGCTCGGCCTCCTGAAGCTCCCAGGTCGCTGACACCATCGATGCCCTGCAATCAGCAGGGTGACCCCAAGGCCCCTTCCCCGGGAAGCCTTGTCTGAGCCCTCAGCCTGTGTTAGGTGTGAGGCAGCCATATATTTATCATCCAGACCCAGACACTTTAGAGAGTGAAAGGTCAAATATAATTAAGAGGCTGAGTCATGAACAGGCATGGAGAAGTCAACCCTAGCCATGAACCTAGACCACCCTAGACAAACAAGGACTCATGGTTATCTGCTAGGTGTCTACTCCAGACTCCCACATCCCTGTCACAGCATGCCCTGACTCCCTCACTGAGCCATGAGCCTCATCCAGGGCAGCATCCTAGGCCCATGGAAGTTCTTGGAAGGTGTCTGTTGGATAGATGGACTAAAGAGATGGAATGAGGCCATTGAGGTCAGTGACATCAGTAGACCTGGGCACTTGACCACCAGACCTGACGCTGTCCTGGTTGTAGGCCAAGGGAGCCTACGCTGAAGGCACTCCCCACACCCCCACCGCAGCTCCGCCTGGCCTATCTCATCATCCCACCTCGGACCCGTGGCTCTAAGGCCCTGGGGACCTAACATGTCCTCTTTAAACTTCTATGGTGCATCCTGCACTTAAACTTATCATGGGAGATTTAAGGCTCCTGACAAAACTAATGACATCATTAATTTGTTTCCCTCTCAGCCTGGGCCCAAACCCAAGTCCCATCCTTGGCATGGAGCCAGGGCCCATCAGCACAAAACATGCAGAAAATGTCAGCCAGCTGCCGGACAGCCCAGGAAACCCTGGTGGTTAGCCCAGCTCCTCTGTGGCTTTGACATTGCACTTTCTGGTTCTTGTCCTTGTTAAATTGTTTTGGCTCCCTAAGGAATGAATGGAGATTCATCTTTCCACAAATGCACATTCATGGTCAGGAAGCAGAGGAGACCCTTGGGAGAGGGGAAGGGAAGCAGAATGCTGCCTTCATGGCTCTCTGATGATTCTGAAGGCTTCTCTTTGTCATCTCCATCTCTACCCCTGCCCAAGGCCACCCTTCCCCGCAGCCTCTGCCGTCACAGGGGCGAGGTGATGAAGCCAGATCCGTCCGCAGGCTACTTCCACAAAGCTGACATTTAGTCAGGACTCTCTCTGTGCTATGCACTGTGCCAATAAGCACTTTCTAAAGCAGCTCTTACTTAATTCCTACCACAGCATATATTACTCCCATGTTACCAGTTTGGACACCGAGTCTCAGCACGAATAACTTGCTAGTTGTAGAGAGGCGGCCCAACTGGTAAGTGACAAAAGAAGGATTCCAACCCAAGTTATCCTGGCTATCTGACTTCAGGACCCACATTCATCACCACCACCATGCATTCGTTCACTGACTGAGCAAATGTTTATTTCTTGGTATAACATCCTCCCACATTCTTTCCCACACCTGAGGAACCAAGAGGGCCATGTTTCCAGAAATAACCCTTCTGAGCCACAGCTCCTCCCCAACTCAGAAGCCTTTCCTAGCTGCATCAAGTCCAAATGTGGCCTGCTTTCTCAGGACTTCCGATCATCCCTTCCATCATTGGTGGAGGAGGTGAGAGCTCCATGCCTTCATGTATCCATTTGCCAAACAGTCCCCAGGCACCAACTCTGATTGGGCCCTGGAAGGACTGCTGCATACAGTTGTGCAGGTTGTGTACTGAACAAGTTTAGGTTACATTAGTCATATTGGTGCCTTGTCATCCCAGAACAGCGAATCAGGCCTTAATGGCGGAGGAGTCCCTCCCTTTCCACTCTGGGGAGCACCCTGGTCCTTGGCCAGTAGCTATCAGAAACAGACATCCCAGCAGATATCAGAGACAGATGTCCTAGCCCCGTCCAAATCCCTGAAGGTTCAGCCTCTGCTGACGTCTCCATTTTCCTCAGAAAGAGTGTTGACAACTTGTCAGTGGCTCTAAAAGCCACGTAGCTGGGCCTCATGACCCTTGGGGGCTAAACCCTGCAGGAATTTAGTCTCCTCATGCCAGACTCTCCATCTAGCTCGCCCATCAGTCAGCTAGGCCTCATGTCCTGTGCTTTAGCCAGAGTTAATGAAGAGAGAGAAATAGAAGAAGGGACTCCAGATGGAAGTCTGAGCACAGAGCTTGGAAGGTGGAATGACAATGAGGGATTATGGGGAAATAGTACATTCTGACTCACTGCCTCAGTTTCCTCAGTGGCCCCTGGCTTCTTCTCAGGCCCCACCCACCATGGGAGTCCACAGTCCTGGAACACCTGGACCCAACAACCAGGCTGGAAAGACAAGATGTTGGGAATGGAAGAACCCAGGAGGAGACAATGCAGCGAGGAAGGACAGAACAACTTTATGTTCAAGGTTCCAGAAACCTTACTGGGCACCTACTTTGGGTCAGGCATGGGGGCCCAGGAATGACAAAGGGTCTGTCCCTGGACTCAGAGAGCTCTCTGCCTCATTTAATAACATGTCAGTGAAGCTTACCCCCAGCTACATAGCAGGGTACGGATAGTGCACTCAGAGCTGAGAAGTGTGGAAAGTTCCAAGCCAGGCTGTTGAATAAACCCTCATTATGGGAGGAAGCCACGGTCCTGGAGTTGAAGTTTTCAAGAACGGATGGAGGGATTTGGTTACGCCCTGGGAAATAGTGGAGCTGGGGGTGGGGAGATGGTAGTGGCCAACCGGGGCTCAGGCATGGGGAAAACCAGAGGCTATGACCTCTCCTGTCATCTCTGGAGGGTGGCCTGGGCTGAACACAGTCCATACAGCACCCACCATCACAGAGAATCCCCATCTTACACATGAGGAAACTAGAGCTCAGAAAAGTTAAGTAACTTGGCCAAAGTCACACAGTGTCAGAACCAGGCCTGAATCCAGATCAGCCAGATCCCGTGCCCTGTGGCCTTTCTGCCGCACCAGGCAGCTGAGCTGACCCTCCAGCCCCGCTTGCTGACTTGAGTTCCTTGCACACCGGGCTGCGTGCGGGAGGCAGGACACTGAAGGAGCTGAGAGCTGCCCCGCCCCCCAGGCCTTCCGCATCTGGAAGCTGAGGGTCAGCTAGGGAGAGACACAGGCGCGATTCGTGGGAGGCCGCAGCCCAGGGCTCTCCTCCTTGGGCTGTTACTTTGCTAGCTGTGTGACTTTGCACTTGTCTCTGGAACGTTCCACTCTTGCTTTTTTCACTTGTAAAACTGGAATGACAACTCCTCTCAAAGCATTTTTGGATTGATTAAAAGCACACGCAAAATGGATAGCCCCCCGTAGGGGCCACTTAATAAAGGTAAGTTGCCCGCTTGGCCGGGCTGTGTGTGCTTGCTCAAAGCCCACCTTGCCCCGGAGAGCACTGAAGGCAGCCTCTGTCTTGCCTTTACAGTTGCCCAGCTTTATCAACACCACCCTCCCACCGCACGAGCAGGTGACCGCACAGGAGATTGACAGCTATTTCCGCCACGAGCTCATCTACAAGAGGAATGAGCGGATGGGGAAGAGGGTCATGGCACTTCTGCGGGAGAACGAAGACAAGATCTGCTTCTTTGCCTTCGGAGCAGGTTTGGGCCGGAGTGGGGAAGGGATTATTTGCAGACTCTTTAACGGCTTAGAGATTTGTGAGCCCCTCCCCTGACCTCTACTTCAGGAAGGAAAAAGTAGAGGCCCAGAATGGAGCGGGAGAGGCCACACAGCACCGTTCTCCTGTTTCTAGCCAAGGGCTCCTCTGTAACAGGCCCGGTTGGCCGGAGTGACCTTGCCAAGGCCAGGACAACTTCTGTCGCTCATTCTTGCCCCAGGAGGCTGTGTTGAGAGCCCAGAACCGAAGCCAGCTCCCACTGCCCACCCAGTCTCTTGAGCCCCGCCTCTCCCACGAACCCAGGGACAAGCCCGTGAGCACCGTGGGGCCTGGCTGGGGAGAAGGCGGGCTCTGGCACCCCATGTCCCAGCTCCACAGCCCAGCCCAGCCCCCTCCAGGCGCGTGACCTTGGCACACCACCAGCAAGGTCTCAGGCCCCTGGTCTGTGAATGGGCAGGACAGCAATGACTATTTGATGAATTGAAAATGTCTACCTTATGGAAGACTTACAAAGATTAGCGGTAACATTTAAATAACTTAACGGTGGGAACTCAGAATGGCAGCGACCTTCCCCATCCTCAGCAGCTTTGTGGGACTTAATACAAGGCTTGTCATCCCACTGTGGGCCATGAACTTGATGCTTCTCCTGAGAGCTCTAGCCTCTTTGTGTAGAGGGAGGTCTAGATGCCCAGTCTCAGGGCTTGCTTGGCATCTCCCTCACTGTCCCTCCTTTCTGTTCCTCCCTCCTCTCCCTGACTCCTTCTTTCTTTCCCTACGGCCGTCTCCCATGCTAACAGCGATGTCTACGATGGGACCAGGGGATTGCATTTGCCTCCTTCATTAGTCAGCTTTTGCCCAAGAGCCACAGCAACAGAAATGTATTTCTTGCTCGTGTGGGTGCAGTCCACCTCCTGCTTTGTGAGAATAAGCCAGAGGCACCACGCCTGGGGATGAGAACTCACTACCACTGCCTCTCTGCCATCCCTTCCCAAGCCCCTTGCCCGTGCACTGCCTGCCTGCTCAGGCCAGCGCGGATCGGGTCAGGCAGTCCACGTACCCCTCTGTGACGTCCGCCTCCCCCCGCCCCGCCATGCAACCCCATACCCTTCAAGGGGAGAGCCAGGGTCCTCTGACTGTGCCCGTCTTCCCTCCTGTGTGGCCTCCAGCATGGAAGAGGCTCGTGGGTCAGCCCCTGTGAGGCCACACCTGCAGCTGGACAGAAAGAGTCCTGGCTCGTGTTGGGGCTGCCATGGCCCGGTGTGGCCTGTGGCAGATCCCTTCCCCTCTGACAGCCTCGGTTTACTTATCTGAACAGAAGTCATCAGAAAGCACTTGGGCCATTGATGATTCCAGGAGCTGTTCAAACAGTTTTCAGAGAAGAGAGGAATTCCTGTAGGAGAGTCTGGAGAAGCCGGCAGGAGTAGGACCTTGACTGACTATGTGGAGAGGGCAAGGCTAGCCTCCAGGTGCAAGATACCTACTGGGGACCTGGCATGAGTCAGGACAGCTTTGGGGACAGGTGCAGGGGAGGGAGTGCTCCCAAACACACCCTCTCACTCACCATCCAGCTGCCACCCTAGCCCTCTCCCCATGAGCATCTGGGCAGTGCTCCTGCTCCAGAATGATCCCCCAGTGACTACAAAAGGTGAACCATTCCAAACCAAGCCAGCCTCCAGGCATCTCTCTAGGCCTAGGAGGAACCAAGCCTGATCCTTGAGGGAGTCCAGTAAAAGATCCAGCATTCCACATGGCCCACCTGAGTGGTAGGGCCTCCCTGCCCCACCTGTCCAGGGCCCCAGACCAGAGCCACCCAGGGTCTGAGGCTAGCTCTTTCCTGTGGGTGAGGAGACAGAAAGCCTGGAGGTGAAAATCACAGCAGCATGGGTGGCCCTGGATCCTGGCCGCCTTCTCCTAAAACCCAAGTCCTTGGAGACACAAATGTCCACTCAGGCACTCAGCCAGCATGCAGGCACCATGCCCTCCTCTAGCTTCTTGCCCATGTCTGAGATCCAGCTGGTCCCCGGTCAGTCCTGTTGACAGACCACCGAAACGACTCCTGTCCGTCTGCTCCATCCGTCCCCATCACCACTGTCCCAGTCCGAGCCTCCATCAGCTCTAGCCTCCTCACTGCAGCTCGGCCTTTGCCGCCTCCAGGCTGCTCCCCACAGCATAGCCGGTGGCTGCTGCTGGCTCTTATCTCCCACGCACCCTGCCTTGAGCTCTGGGAGGGCACACACCACATAATCATCCTGTGTTTGTAGTAACATGTAATAGGTGTCATGAGTGTATGGAAGAAAGAATGAGGGAAGGAACGAACAAGTGTGGGAATGTTGGCCAGATCCTCCCTTCCTGGTCTCCTCTGGGCCTGGTGGACAGGGCAGCAGGAACGTCAGGGCAACGTGAGCCCCACCTCAGCTCTCGGGGACCTGCTATCCAACAACAACAAGCCCAGAGCCATGTGCGGACCTTGCTGGCAGCTGCACTGGAGGCTCGGCCACTCCTAAAACAAATGTTCTCCCCCGCACTGCACATCCACCCTCGACCTGAGAATTTCAAAGCTGGATGCAGCCTCCAGGCTCAAGCCTGTCCACCTCATCTGAGCTCTGGATAGACTGAGGTCCCTATAGGTCAAGATACGGGTCAAGTTCATGGCAAGTCAGGGAGAGAGGCAGGGCTGGACCTCAGGCCCAGGAGCTATGATCCAGGAACTCTGTTCTCATGTGCAGTCAGGGAGCCAGCTGTATAGACCTGTGATGACCACTTTATTGTCATGGAATATGTCCACGCACAACCCAGAGCGAGAAGAGTCCATGCCTCCCTCTGCATTCTTATGGCCATGTGACTCCCAAGTCCCACGTCCTGTGGCAGCTGAAGAGTTGTGTGCAGCACCAAGACCGGCACTCCTGGGCAGTGTGCAACCTGCAGATACCCCCACTCCCCTCTACACACCTCTGTCTGCGGGCCTCTGCAGTCGCATCTCAGCCCTTCCTAGACCATCGGGCACTGACTCTTCACCAGACCATCCTCTGTCTGGTCCTCAAAGAAGATCCAGTGTCCCCAAGGCCATGGGAGGGAGGGAGGACCTATGCCACTGGAAATATTCCCAGCCGTCCCCCAGATGTGTCTGCTCACGCAAAGGTCTCTCAGTTCCAGGCTCAATGGGTGTCTCTAGGAAATACCTTAGAAAACAGAAACATAATGATAAACACCTCTGCCTCGCCCCACCCCCCCTGCCCTGGCTGGGGCTTGCCTGGTGTCTGAGCCAGGCCCCTGCTGGGGTCTGCCATTCTAGGCCAGCCTCAGGCTCCGTGGCTCCAGAGGAGTAAGCTAAGGCACACAAGAGAGCCTCCACCTGCCTGCCCCACCCCCCCCACCCCCGTGCCCATCCAGACCCTTCCTCAGCCCACCTCTGCTCCAGATTCCCTTCCCGAAAGCCCACAGGTACAGACGGAGATTTCCAGTGCTGATAGCAGTCTGGCTACCCCTCCTCTGTTCTGTTCTGTTCTGTTCTACAGAGATTCAGTACAAAGAGTAAGAGCTTTGGTGTCAGGATGCTTGTGTATAAAGTGTGGCTCTACCACCGTCAGCTAAGAGATGCTGGGAAAGCCATTTCACCTCCAAGGGCCTCAGTCTCTCATCTGCAAAATGGGGATAATACACCTGCTTCATCAGGTTGTGCTAAATATGTTCATTTTAGATCACAGGATTAAAATTCTCTGCCATAGTGGAGAGATCCTTATAATAAAGACTCCTCCTATGTGCCAACCACCACTCCAGGCTCTTAGCCTACGTTACCTTTGACCTTCACAATAACACCACGAGATGGGTTTTATTATACTCATTTTGCAGATGAAAACTAAATCCCAGAGAGGAAGAGTGGCTTCCTTAAGGCCATGCAGGCAGATGTTCAACTGGAATCCTGGTTTCTAGGGTCCCTAGTCCTAGCCGTTTCCTCCATACATGGTGCCCTTGCTCTAGAATTCCTGAAATGTTGATGGGTTTGTGGGAAGGGTATCGTTTTAGGTGGCGCATCCCACAGAAGAGTACTCTCCTTAGTGTTGTTTCTGTAGCGAGCCACGATCTGACCTCTTCTGGAGGTTACTCTGTGGGCTCAGGAGCAGGTGGGGTGTGAACATGCGTGACAATTCTGACCAGGCCTGGGGGACATCTGGGGGTGACATCAGATAGAAGCCCTGTCCTCCAGGAGGTGGTTGTGGCCAGTGTGCAAACCCAGACATTCTGGAATGGCCCAGACCACTGCCATGGAGAGGAGTGTCCAGGGGGAGGGAAGGTCCTATTCCTGACTACCAGCCTCAAGGACAAGCTGAAGGGTACCCAAAGATCTTGTGCAGATTCTTGGATTTCTTCTGCTCTATAAACAACTTATAAAATAGGTACTAGGTGGTGAGTTTTTATTAACTAAATTTATTCAGTTTACAGGCTTATCTAATACTCTGAAATTATCTCCTTTCTACCATGTTTGAAGTTAAACATCTTTCGCTTAAAAAAAAAAAAAATGATAGTGATGTAAGGCAAAGGGACCTTTCAGAGCCCTTACTTGGCAAAATAAAAATTTGTAGCTGTATTGTTGGCCCTACCCACCCAGCTGTTCTTACCATGGGAGAGAATTGAGCATGCCTGAAACATGATGGAAAGAAAGACACAGGAGGGGTGAGGCTGCTCAGTGGGGAATATTACTAGCCCAGTCTTGCAAGAAGGCAGGAAGGGTGGGGGCAGAGCTCAGGTAGAGGGTCTGGCCTGGGTAGAGAAGAGCACTTCCTTACCTGTACTGGAAGGAGGGAGGAGGCTGGCAGACAAGTCATTTGCTAGTGGAAAAGTAACCTGATGGCTTTCTCATCAGAGCTCCGCTCTGTAAGGTAGAAGGTGCAGGCATCTGCAGAGAAAGAAGAGGAAAGTGGAGGGTTCTTGGTTTCCAGAAAGAACGTTTGACATGAACGCAAGCAAGACTGGCCATAAGAACTG